TGTGTGTGTGTGTGTTTGAACGTGCGTGTGTGTATGTATGTATGTGTGAGATCTCTTATGATGGGTGGATCCGGCTCCTCCACGCTGCGTGAGCTGGCCTGACCCGCGCGCCGCTCTTCCGCTCGACTTTGCCCTCCGCCGCGCGCGTGGCCGCGACGCCGACAAAGGTGTGTGTTGCCTCACTCAGCCCGGCGTTTGTCCGCTGCGCCGGGCGTGCGACTGTGATGGGCCAATTGGCTCTCCGCCCCGCCCGTACGCGACAGAAAAGAATCTGGTTCAACGGTCCTCTCCCTCTCCCCCGGATCGACCCGGAATACCTTCGGCTCGGGGATGCCGCGCGGCTCCGGCGGCGCACGCGATCCGGGCGACAAATGCACGCTAAGGTTCTGCTGCCGTTCGCTGGCACCGCTGGCCCCCCCCCGCTCCCTTCGTCTCCCCAGCATGTCCGTCCCTGGAGCAACAAACGTGGACAAGCCATGGGGGCTTCCCAGCAAACGGTCGACATGATGATACAATACGATTTTATCTCAACTCTGACGGTCGACAACACGATAAAAGATGATTTTATCTCTGCTTTGACCCCCTGTGCCCTTCGTCTACCAGACATGTCCGTCCCCCGTGGCGCGGCTTCCCCGTGGGCAGGACCCCGAGCGTCGCGCGATCAAGGGGGATGCTCCTCCCGCCGTCTTCCTCGACCTCTCTGCCGCCCCTGGGACACAGGGTCTGCTTCAGTCCCGGCGGGTCTCACGACGAGCACCGGGACTGGCACTGCGCTGGACTTGAGGGCAAGCGCTGGACTTCCGATCGCCATACGTCCAAAGACCGCCTCGAGCAGATGCGCAACGGCGGCCTCACGCTGCCTCCCGAGGATTTGCCTTGGTGGCGGTACGTGGCGCGAGATACCCAAGGTGCCCGCTGACTGTCTGTGCCTGTCTCGATCCCGACGAGACGTGCGTCTACAACGCTTCCGCCTGGGACGCTCCACTCGCGCATCCTCCCCACGGCGCCAACCGATCATGGCAGCCCCCCGTGCCCGTCCAGCTCGACTTCAACGTCCGTTCCCCGCCCTGGCACGAACGGCTCTGGATGGTGGCTGAGAAGCGGTGCCTCGCCCCCTCGCTCGCCCTTCTGCCGTCCACTTCGGCCACGGCGGGAGGCCGCGGGACCCCTCCAGCGCCCGCCACCACCCCAGGCGCAAGCCCCTCTGCTGGCCCTGCGATCGGCCCATTCGCCACCGTCTCTCTGACTGCAGCCCCCCGCCCCCGGCGGGTGGCTGTGGGCAGCCCCGCCCCCCCGGCCCCCCCAGCTGGCCGTCAAACACACTTTGCGCGTTGCAGCAGACTTCCGCACGCGTAATGAACTGGAGAAGGTCCCTAGCGAGAGTCAGGCGTCCCTTGGCAAGCAAGACGTCCGAGGGATCGAGTCTGGCCAGGCTGGCTCCCAGCTTGGCCAAACGCTCAAAACTACGCTTGCTTGTGCACTCGAATCCGAAGTCAGGCCTTCTCTGGCATCGGTCCTCGTAGCGTGCCCCAGGACCTTATGAACGGTCTCCGATGCCCATTGTTGCCTCCACAAAAGGGCTCGTGAGTTTCCAAGACTGGGCTTTCTTACTTTTGAGAAGCAGCAAGCTAATACTCCCTTGCAGTCGCGGTACAAAGTGTAGACCCATGCGTTTAAATCAAACGCCGTGACAAACGCATAGTTTTCCCCATCTCTAGCCACTCGGTCTGGGTATGTGGCAGGAGGGACACATCCATACGTAAAATTCAACGGTGCAGCGACGGTTCTCATCATAAGCGGCGATCCCCCATCCAGCTACTCTGAGCGAAGGGAGCGTACCATCCATGGCCGAACCGTACCACAACAAAAAAAACCTTGGTTGAGTACGACCAGGCATGCAACGCCTCCTTCGACGCGAAGCTCCGTGAAAGGGTCCCAAGATTTCCTCGAACGAAGCTGGCACTGGTCGGGCGGGTAACATTCCTTGGGCGAACCTTTCATAAAACTGAAAAGGAACACGTGGCAGCCCTGGGGGCGACCTCCGTGACTGAACTAGGAAGGCTGCCTCTGCGCCATGCCTGAAGCAATCCGACGGTCAGTCTGAGTCATGCTAATGCAGGCTGCGTTGGCACCAATGAGAACCCATGACAAGCCCACGCAGCGTTCGCTGCTCCCTGAACCCCCACGCCCCCCACTCCCCACTGTCCCCGCGTCCGAAGCGTCTATCTTTTGGTGCAGCAGCTCATTGAGCGGTCGCCAGAAGAGGTCTCGTCTCCAGGCACTGGCACCAGCAGGTCTGATCTTGCCCAACGCTGCTAATTCAGAGGTTATCCTGGCCGCAAACCTGGCCCTGCGAGCAACGAAAGCAGGAGAGACCTGCCTACGGTCCCAAACCTGACCAGAGGGCTTCCTGAGGGCGAAAGGCCCTTCAAACAAAACATCGATCCTGGAACAGGTAAGCACTAGGGAAACAATTGGGTCCTTGACCAAAGTCCATGGCTTCGGTCTTTAGACCAGCGACTAGTCTTTAGCAAACAAGATGTGGGGGATCCAGTCTCTTACGATCTGAACATCAATCTTGACCGCGTCGGCCGCGACTTGCACCAGAGGGTCCCGAGACCACCCCCCTCGAGTACACATCGACGACAATCTCAACGAACATCCTCTGGGCAGCCTGGCCTCCGCTCTGACCGCAGCACCTCGAAGGCTCTTGAGCTTCCCATCTGGCAGCCCTTGGATGGTGGCCCCGCAGGGAGCCTTTGCAGTCACCCCCGCCCGACAGATTCCACTGGTGGATGAGCGACGGCTGATGGTGAGGAGGAGGAGGACGAGGACGAGGACGAGGAGGAGGAGGAGGCGGAGGAGGAGGAGGAGGAGGAGAAGGGCGAGGGCGACCAGGAGGGCGGAGGAGGTGGACCCCTGGCTGCCTGGAGAGCCCGCCGCTCTCGTGGGCGCGCGCGCTCCGAGCGTCCCCCCCCGCTCGAGCTCCTCGTCGCCGCTGCCCTGCGAGGGCACCTTGCGACTGGGGACGAACTCGTCGTCCGGGATGTCCCCGCCGAGGAAGCAGGGAAGGTGCGCGGGGTCGACGAGCTCGCGTAACCTCCCCGGAGTGGGGGGGAGGCAAGTGGTGGGGCCTCGTTCGCGGCTGGGGCCACAGAAAGCCATGTGTCCAGTGGGCTGGGCACCGCGCGATGGCAACGGGCCCATCGCATCAACAACCCGCTTGACTCAGCACGCAAAGGAGGATGGTTCCCATGCCATCGCATAACTTCCCAGGGCCACGCTCCTCGTGTTTAGATTAATTACGCTGCGCCCGCGCTCCCCGGGCCACGACCCATCGCAAATGACGCAGGGCCCCCCTTTTTGGGGCCTCTGCACGCCGTTATTTACGGAGCACTCTGAGCGTGGGGCGCGCCATCCTCGAGCGGGCACTCACGAACCCTACTTTTGAAATTTTCTGGTAAGCTCCATGCGAATTTCAACGCACCACTCACGAAGATTCGGTGCAAAACGCTGTGCACCATTTCCCAATCATCGTTTGGTGTGGGGTACTCGTTTTGAAAGGACAGCGCCCCACGTCTCACACCACCTCCCGCTCCCTCCTCCTTCGGCCACCCATGTCGGCACATCCCTTACACGTTTCGTGGCCCCATAGGAGACTCTACCGAAGGCCCCAGTTGCGGTGCTCGCATGCATCCCCGCCACCCATGTCGGCACACCCTCACACGTTTCGTGGCCCCATGGGGAGATCCACCGAAGGCCCCAATGGCAGTGTTCGCGTGCGTCCCCGCCTCCCATTTCGGCACACCTTTCATACGTTTCGTGGCCCCATCTCGACCGAAGATCCCAATGAGGCAGTTCGCATGCGGTCAAGCACCCATTTCGGCACACCGTTCGCACGTTTTGCGGCCCCACAGGGAGCTCCACCGAACGTGCCAGTGGCACAATTCGACTGTGGTCCGGGCATCCATTTCCGCACACGCCTCACACGTTTCGGGGCCCCATGAGGAGCTCTACCGAAGGTCCCAGTGCCGCAGTTCGCATGTGGTCCCGCACCCATTTCGGCACACCCCTCACACGTTTCGTGACCCATAGAGAGTCCCACTGAAGGTCCAAGTGGCGCAGTTCGCATGCGGTCCTGCACCCATCTCGGCACACCCCTCACACATTTGTGGCTCCATAAGGAGCTCCACCGAAGGTCTAATGGCGCAGTTCGCACGCGTCCCCGCCATCCATTTCGGCACACCCCTCACACGTTTCGTGGCCCCATCGGGAGCTCCACCGCGGATCCCAGTGAGGCAGTTCGCATGCAGTCCCGCAAGAATTTCGGCACACCCCTCGTACGTTTCGTGGCCCCATGGGGAGCCCCACCGAAGGTCCCAGTGGCGAAGTTCGCAGGTGGTCCCGGCACCAATTTCGGCACACGCCTCACACGTTTCGTGGCCCCATAGGAAGCTCCACCGAAGGTCCCAGTGGCGCAGATCGCATGTGGTCCTGGCATCCACTTCGGCTCACGCCTCACACGCTTCGTGGCCCGATAGGGAGCTCCGCCGAGGGTCCCAATGGTGCAGCCCGCATGCGTCTCCCCAACCCAGAACAACGCTTCGTGGCCCCATGGGGAGCTCCACCGAAGGCCCCAGTGGTCGCGGCCGCATGCGGCGCCCCCCCCCCCTCGGCACACACCTCACACGTTTCGTGGCCCCATAAGGAGCTCCACGGAAAGTCCGACTGGCAGGTCTCGCATGCGGTCCCCGCACCAATTTCGGCACACCTCTCACACGTTTCGTGGCCCAATAGGGAGCTCCACCGAAGACGATGCTCACAACTGCGGTACTCACAGCTGCATGCTGTTGGGCCCTTCGCCAAGCTAATCTACGGAGGAAGAAAGGGTGTGCGGACCCTGTAGTTTAGTGAGGATCCGATACGGGGGCGGAATTTTCTCGAGCGGGCACGCGCGAAACACATTTTCACAGCTGAACGTGAAATTTCTCCTTCTCCGATTGAGCAAACACCTGCCTGCCTTTACTGAACATGGCACCTGGCAGTAATGTTTACATATAACAAACGGAGCGCTAGGCCTGAGCCCTTTCTGAGAAAAGTTCACCCCTCCCTATCTCCATTCTCCCATCTCCCCCGCCTTCCTCTTGCCCCTTTTCTCCTCTTCATCCTCATTCTCCTCGTTCTTTCTCCCCCTTATGAAAGCCCTCTGGAGCTCAAAGCAAGGCCAGAAACTTTCCGAAACCTCGATCCTCGCTCGATCCCCTGAGCCTCGCTGGCGTCTGGGACGCGGACACCGTCTCTATCTTGTCCGCGATGCGCGCCGGGAGGACCGGCCACAGTACCTTCAGGATACCGTGGACGGCCCAGGGGGCGTTGATCAGCAGGACCTCAGCTTCGGCATCCTCCTGCTTGCTCCTCCTCAGCGTCGGATCCCAGCGTCGCAAGTTATTCTGGCGAACGGCCGATCCCTATGCAGCTGCGTGTAGCGGGGGGTGTGGCCCCCTCCTCATGTACTGCCCGCAGCGTTTACGGATGCAGTTCGGGGCAGTGAGGAGGGGTGGGCTGCGGAGCAAGGGGGGCGCGCTATGGCACACGATCCGTGTGAAAGGTGTGCTGGAATGGGCTGGGGATCGTTTGCGGGCACTCCCGCTGGGACCGTCGGCAGAACCCGAATTGGGGCACGAGCTGCGTGATTGGTGCGCATGGGCAGCAGGACACCATGCGAACCTGGCCAATTGGGCCGTAAATTGCGGAGCTAGCGCGCGCTGCATGTCACCTGCGACGCTTGCCTAAGCGACCTGGCGATTCACCCGCACGCAACTTCGTTGGCCGTGCTTTTCCTGCAAACCAACATAGGCAACACACATTGTTCCTGGGGCGACGCTTATCTTAAGAACCAGTCTGGGCTCATTACGCGCCTCCCTTCTTTCTTCTTGGGTTAAGATCCCTCCTTCACTATGCTGTGGACGTGTCCCAGCACAGGTGCCGCCCTACAGGCCTACCTAGTCAACCCGCTGCTTGCCCAAGAGCTCCGCCACTTCTTGTGGCCGACGGGCCCCCCGAGCGGGGGGTCGCGGCACCTTCAGCTGACCGCCCTTGTCCTCCCGATGGGAGCCCGGCCGTGCTCTGCAAAGACACCGTGCAACCAGTACACCTCCCTTCACCCACCTCCCTTCTCCCTTCACCCCTTCATCTTTCTCTGCCTCCTCCTTCTCCTCCTCCTTCTCCTCCACGTCTTGCTCCTCCTCGTCCTCGCTCGCCAGCTCTGCTGAGCACGAGGAATAGGAAAGGAGGGGCCGCATAAGGATCATGGGCGGAAGGGGAAGGAGGAGAGAGAAGGAAATACGAGCAGGAGGACGTAGCAGGAGGAGGGCGATGATGATGATGATGATGATGATGATGATGATGATGATGAGGAAGATGGATGATGATGCTGCTGCTGATGATACTGATGATGATGCTGATGCGGATGCTGTTGTTGATGATGCTGATGATTATCACGGTGACGATGACGATGATGATGCTGCTGCTGATGCTGCTGATGATTATGATGCTGCAGATGCTGATGCAGATACTGATTCTGATCATGATGATGCTGATCATGATGCTGCTGCTGCTGTTGATGTTGATGATGATGATGATGATGATGATGATGATGATGATGATGATGATGATGGTGATGGTGATGATGATGAAGATGGTTAGGATAAGGAGGAGGAATATGAAAGAGACGATAAGGATTATGATCATCATAAGCACGCGGACGAGAGGGATGGCCGCAATATATGATAACGCTAACTCGGTCGATGGAATTGTCAGACCAGAGCACCAACTACGCAATCAACGACCTGCCGACCTTAGATCGCAAGGATCGCGATCAAATGCACAACCAACATACACTAAGATGAATGACCTTGCCAAGCATCCCAGGATAGTACGTGTCGATGGTGTGTGACATTGTCCGCAACATTGGCTGCCTACCTCGGTTCCTGAGCCACACATTCAGTATCCCCTCTGGGCACGTCATGTCCTGTATGCTTGTGCAGCGCCCCAGGCGGCCTTCGCGGCTGGCGTATGCCTCCAAGCGCAGCAAGCGCATCTCTGCGGTGCTCACCGAGAACTCCATAAAATCCTCGGGCCGGGCAGGAGGAGGAGGAGGAGGAGGAAGAGGAGGAGGAGGAGGAGAAGGAAGAGGAGGAGGAAGGCAACCACGACGACACGGAGCATCGCCCGGCATCGGCCGAGATCCCCCGTACGGGCGCGCCCTGCCTGCGCCCTCGACGCGTCCCGCGTTGGCACCTCGAGTAGATTCGGCGGCGAGCAAGGGGGGGAAGTGAGAATGAGAAGGCCTTCTCAGAAGGCGGCGGGACTTCTCAGAAGCCCTCGCGCCTTCTGAAGAATTTTCTGTGTGTCCGGGGAAAGCTTAAGGAACTTCTCGGAAGGCTGGGGGACTTCCGAGCCTTCTGAGGAGGCCCCCCATTCTCACTTCCCCCCCTCGCCCGCCGCCGAGTAGAGCCTGGCTGGCTGTGGCGACGCAGACTCCTCCAAGTGTCGACTGAAAGAGGGAACTACCCGAGACCCCAGCCACCGTGGAACCAGGTGGGCACTGGGATGCAGATCTGGAAAAGCGACACTTGCGCGCGTCGGCCTTGGTGCAGTTCTTTGTTGCTCTCTTCTCACCAAGGGCTGTGCTTGCGAATCTGGACGTCTTTTTGGATTCGGGCTCTCTGCCATGGAGGTCAGATCCAAACTTGTAAGCTGCAGCGAGGCAACCCCTGCTTTCGTCCCTGGCACGAAATTCAGAACACGTGTGTCTGTGAGTCTGTGTTCAACGGCACCGCGGGCTTGTCTCTAATCATGCCATCTATCACTACTCTTCTAATGGCTCTCGCCAGGAGGTGTCATTTAGTCGTCCTTGTTTCGACGGAGCCAATCGCATTTTCGGAGGGGCGAGGCGCGTCTCGGAGTGCCGCCTCTTCACGTCGATTGGTAGCTACATGCTCGTGTTACCACAACAGCATTGGTTAAACCACTTGGCGGGAGGCAGATGGTATCTCGTTCATTGTTCTAGGACCCGTGGACGTCGCTCATGGCTGCTCCCACTAATGGCCACCTGCTACTCGCCAGGCCCAGAATGGTTCTAGAAGCGGGAAGCACTCCCCACATCCAGTGCCAGAGATAAGCTAGTTGGAGCATTATGTTAGTGGCACGTCTGGGGAACACTCAAGGCGCACCACGACCGAAATGAAGACAGGCTTCCTGGGGGCACCTGCTGGGAGGGGTAGGCAGGTGGTCTCTTACTCGCCGCGTTGGTTGCAACTTTCCCACCCGTCTCGCCCGTCGAGAGCAACACTGTTGGGGAGCGCGTGCCCGTCATCAGCCGAGGAAGGCCCAGCACGGGTGCTAATCTCCAAGGATCCTGCCTCAACGGGCGGGCGTAACATCATTTGGTACCTCGATGGGGAGCAAGAGACAGCATACACATACACTTTCGGAGATCCGCGCTGGACCCCCCTCCCCGGCGTGCTCCGCGCGCCAAGGCGGCGCCAGAGGCGCCGCCGAGGGGCCCCAGCGCACTCCCAAGAAATCCGCGCTGACCACCGACAATTTACGCCAATGCCGTTTTTCCAACTTCGCATCTTTCGGCGGCGAGCGAGGGGGGGAAGTGAGAAGGAGAAGCCCTTCGCAGAAGGCTCGGACGTCTCCTGGCCTTCTGAGAAGTTTTCTGAGCTTTTTCCTGAGACGCAGAACACTTCCAGTAGGCGCGAGGATTTCTGAGAAGTCCCGCCGCCTTTTGAGAAGGCCTTCTCCTTCTCACCTCCCCCCCTTGCTCGCCGCCGAATCTTGCTGCGTCACCATCGGCTCCCGAAGAGACGGGATGGCCCGTCCTCCTCTGTCACGGCCTCGAAAAGGGCCTCTGCGTCGGTCAGGCCCACACATCTCACCGAGTACGGCATCTGGTCGCGGGTGATGGATCTGCCGCTGTCGTGCATCGGAAGGTGCTCTAAGATCTTGTCGCCGTGGGGCAGGTCCCGCAGCGTGATGTCGCCCTGGAGAGAAGGGGCGTGGATGAGGAGGGGGGGGGAGGAGGGGGCAGCGCCGCACGCCTGACCCCGGTGGTCGCTGGTCCTGAAGGCGGAGAGGTGCCGAGTTCGCGGATGCAGCAGGAGGGGGCAATGGGGGAGGGCTGGAGGAGAAGGCGTGAGACTGGAGAAAGGGTCACCGAGGGGTGAGTTTTTTTTTTTTTTTTTTTTGTTTTGTGTTGTTTTTGTTTTTGTTGTGATTGTTGTGGTTGTTGTTTGTTTGTTAGTTTGTTTGTTTGTTGTTGTTCTTTGTTTTTCACCAGAGGTGAGGGAGGGGATAATACATGATGAATCGCTGCTCTGTGATGGCCCCCTTTTGATGTAAGCCTCACGGGTGGAACTCGCCTGGTCCCCTCCGCCTCTGCCATCGCAAGCTTTGTGAGGGAGTTCGGTCTTCCTCCTACCGCTGCACCTGATTTGTTTGGGCGCAGAGCCCTCCCCCTTCGGGTCCCTGGCCAGATGCCGAGAGAGTAACTCTTGCTGATGCCCCATCTGGTGCAACCTTTCTTTCTTCGCTCAAAATGTGCCCCTCCCTCGCCTCCCCGTCAACTTCGCTGCTGGGCCTCTGGACTACAGCAGCGACGGTTCCAGCGCGGGAGGTCCTCACATATACACCAGGAGGACCCTACATGGGTCTTGCCCCTGGTGGTGGTGGCGGCTTCAAGAAAGCATGAGATATAAACCTTCGGATGTCCATGCGGATTTCTTGGGTCGGCGCTGGACCTCCCCACGCCAAGGGTCCGCAGACCCCTCCAGGGCCCTCTCCTGGGGTTCATCCAGACCAATCTTCATCCCACATCGATTTTTGACGGCCCCAGAACCCGAAATGGGTGCCCACATGCAGATCTCAAAGAAAGCCATCCGGGCGGTATTTTTTGCATCCTCCTCCTCCTCCTCCTCCTCCTCCTCCTCCTCTCCTTGATCTCGCGCGGTTCATGTTTTTTTGTCCCCCGCATCTCTCAGTCCTGCGCCTACGCTGCATTGCGTTAGCCTGCTATACTCGCACTGAAGCGCCCATGTCTCGCGACAGAGACAGGAAGACGAGTACGCAGGAGGAGAAGGGAAGGAGGAATAGCGATAAGAAGAAGGTCTAGCGTCGGAGCAAATACGAAATACAACTCCGCCCGCGCAGGCCTCGGAGAAGACGCAGGCATAGTCCCCCCATGTTGCCGATCCTCTGCTTCTGTAGCGTCTCCTGCGTATGCGAGGGAATATCCTGATACTGGGTGTGCCCCTGCCTGCCTGCCTGTCTGTCTGCCTGTCTGCATGCATGCATGTATAAATCCGCCGACCCTGTGTCGGCGTGTGGAAGAGGCTGTTCGGTTCTTCTCGGTTCCCTCGGAGGCTGTCCTGACTGACGGGTCAGGTACGACGCCTCTCCCAGGAAGCCCGCGAATCCCGCGATCCCACCAAATTCCAGAAAGACTTCGAGGGAAGTCCCTTCCTTTCCCTTCCCGCCGGGGATGGGTGGGGGGATCCTGGGGAAGTCCCGGGACAGATGCGCTTCCCCCCCGGGCTCCGGCCCTGGCCCCAGCCATGGCCCAGGTCCTGGCCGGGCTCCGGCCCTGACCCCGGCCCCCGGCCCCGGCTCCGGCTCCGGTCCCGGTTCCAGCCCCGGCCGAGGGAAGCCCGGTTCCTTTCATCCCTTCCCGCCGGGGAGGGGGGGGGAGTCCCGGGGAACGCTTCCCCTCCGGGCGGTTCGGCCCTGGCCCCAGCCCTGGCCCCGGCACTGGCCGGGCTCCGGCCCTGACCCCAGCCCCCGACCCTGGCTCCGGCTCTAGTCCCGGTTTCAGCCCCGGCCCTGGTCCAGGAAGCCCGCGAATCCCGCGGTTCCACGAAATTCCAGAAAGACGTCGAGGGAGTCCCTTCCCTTCCCTTCTCGCTGGGGAGGGGGGGGTGTCCCGGGGAAGTCCCGGGTCACGCTTCCCCCCCGGGGGGTTCATGGCCCCAGCCCTGGCCAGGCTCTGGCCTTGACCCTGGCCCCGGCTCTGGCTCAGGTCCCGGTTCCAGCCCCAGCCGAGGGAAGCCCCTTCCCTTTCACCCTTCCCGCTGGCCGGGCTCCGGCCCTGACCCGCCCCCGGCCCCGGCTCCAGCTCCGGTTCCGGTTCCAGCCCCTGGTGGGTGATGATCCATTGGCGAAGGTGCAAATGCCACAGCCAACTTGAATCCAAGTGGCAAAGGACAGCTTCTTAGAGTCTATGTCAGGGTATGGCCACGAGGAGGACAACAGGACAGGAACAAAGAGGCGGCTGCGGAGGAGGATTATGGATGATGAGGTACATGATGATGATGCTGCTGCTGCTGCTGATGATGATGATGATGATGATGAGGAGGAGGAGGAGGAGGAGGAGGGGGAGAAGGAGGAGGAGGATGAGGAAGGAGGAGGGGGAGGAGGAGGAGAGGAGGAGGAGGAGGAGGAGGCGAGGAGGAGGAGGAGGCGGAGGAGGAGAACAGGATGAGCAGGGAGGAGAGAGGAGAAGGAGGGAGAGAGGAGGAGGAGGAGGAGGAGGAGGAAGGAGGAGGAGGAGGGGAGGAGGAGGAGGAGGAGGAGGAGGAGGAGGAGGAGGAGGAGGAGGAGGAGAGAGGAGGAGGAGGAGGAGGAGGGAGGAGGAGGAGGAGGAGGAGGAGGAGGAGGAGGAGGAGAGGAGGAGGAGAGGATGAGGATGAGATGAGGATGAGGATGAGGAGGAGGAGGAAGGAGGAGGAGGAGGAGGAGGAGGCAGAGGAGGCGGAGGAGGCGGAGGAGGAGGAACAAGATGAGCAGGATGAGCAGGAGGAGCAGCAGGAGGAGGAGGAAGAGCAGGAGGAGGAAGATGAGGAGGAGGAGGAAGAGGAGGAGGAGGACGAAGAGGAGGAGGAGGAGGAGGAGGAGGAGGAGGAGGAGGAGGAGGAGGAGGAGGAGGAGAAATGAGGAATGAGGAATAGGACTCGGAGGAGGAGGCGGAGGAGGAGGAGAAGGAGGAGACAGAGTGGATGCAGCAGCAGGAGCCAGACGAGCAGCAGGAGCAGCAGCAGGAGCAACAGGAGGGCAAGACCCTCACAACGCGTGGCGGCTCAGACGCGGCCGTACCGTGCCCCGATGGACCCAAGCTGCATATCGAAGTCCAGGTCGGCGAGGTCCACACGCCGCTCGTCCTCAAAGGAGCCCTGCAGGTCAGCGTCCAGGGTGCTCGCGCCGAGTCGCGCCGATAGCGGCCGAGGCGAGACGCCCCGCCGCTGTGCCCTGCGCCGCCCGCCCTCGGCGACCACCTCCGTGGGCAGCTCCGAGCAGGCCGCCGCACGCCCGCTGTCGGCGCCAGCTCCGTCGCAGTGCACCGGGGAGCTGGGCCGGAGGTTCCAGGTGTCCAGGCGCCTGAGGCTGGCCCGCTCTCTCTCTTCCCACGACATGAGCATGGGAGGGTCCTCGCCCTCCGCCTCCGCGCCGCCCCCGCTCTCCGCGCGAGCGCCGCCGCGGGCGGGGCGTGCCGGCGTCGCGGCACGCTCCGCTGGCGCTACCTCGGCGCGCGCTGGGGCGCGTGCCCTGGCGCCCGCCGCGGCCTGGCCGTCGCTGGGGCCATCTCGCAGCACCCAGACCTCCACCTCTGGCTGCTCCTCGGCCTGCGGCTGCGCCACGGAGGCCTCGGCCGCGGCTCGCGGCGGCCGCGCCGCTGGCGGCTGCGGCGGCTCGGGCCGCTGGCCCGAGCCGGCCGCGGCTTGCGGCGGTGGCGCCGCCGACGGCGCCGAGGGCGCGTCGTTGCCGTTTGGCGGGCGGTGGCGAGCAAGCGGCTCCGCGCCGACGGCCCCGCTGGTCGTCGGCAACTCGGGTGGGCTTTCGGGCGGTGTGCTGGACTTGGAGCAGCCTCGCGGTGGCGGCGGCTGCCGCGCGGGGCTCAGGGGAGCCTTCTCGCCCTCAAGGGCAGGCGGGCGCCTATCCTCTCCGAACGGCTTCGGGCGGTCGAGCGGCTCCGGCTGCGCGACCCCAGCGTTTGTCTGGCAGCAGGCCCCCATGGCAGCGCTGGGACTTGGTCATGCCAGCAGAGAGCGAGGGCGGCAAGTGCGCATGAGCCGAAAGGGATACAGATGGGCAGGGAAAATAATAAGACGAGAAGTGGGGCCCAAAGCCGATACCCAACGATGATGGAGGCTGCGAGACCCCTTCGGCTAGCCCCGCCCTCTCCACACGGAAAACTCCACGGGTGAGCGGAGACCCCAACAAGCAATCTAGGTCAGAGGCGTGATAAGAGTGGGCCTACAATCGGAAGTTCAGAGCAAGCCCATTTGCACGGCCTCGGTGCATGAATCGACCAAGACTTTCGGAAAGGCTCGACAGGGGGAAAGGGGAAGCACGAGCATGAGCAGGAGGGAGGGTCAGATATGGAGACCTCTGGCGACTCGGACGGTTCGCGCTTGATCGCGTTCGCAATTTTCCACGACTGGACGCCGTTTCCGGGCGTCGGGGCCGCCAAAAGAGGACTCATTATAACCAGCGGTTCCTGTGGAATCGAAATCCCAAGGGCCAGCAGATCGAAAATATCAAGTTGTCGGACGTCTGGGTAGTTAGCTTTCCGATGCTGGCAGATCTCCTCGGGCGGAAAGGCTTTTGTCCTCAGTGGTGGTCGGTATTCTAATGCTATGATTGTGCGAGTGCCCATGGTGAAAGGGCTAGGGGATCCACTCTGCCTCTAGCTGGAAGCCTGCGCAAGTCCCCTGAGCCAAACGCGGGCTGCTTACCCGAGGACGTTCTCAGGACTTCCACCAGCCCTCTGGGTGTAGGTGGTTCAGCGAGTCAACTCTTCCAACCCCCCTCTCTCATTCTCCCTGCGGGGGAAGGGCTCTATCATCCGACAACGTGGAATGCTTCTACGACGCGAGCTGCAACATCATCCAGTACCCGCCGATGGTCATCCCAACCAGGACGCAGCCGCCGCCGCCGCCACCGACGCCCCCCACGCCTCCGAGGCAGCGGTCGCCATCACCAAAGGCTCGGTTCTTTACAATTGGCATCACCTCCCTCAACATCGTCATCACGAAGTACCGCGACGATGCCGACTTCAAGGCTAGCGTAGACCGATTGAAACAAGCAGTTGACTACATGATCGACAACGACGTGACCGACATGAAGCGCTCCGACACCGACATCGATCGCCTCACGCGGCTACTGCTCTCCAACCAATTCGACAACCTTGGCACCCAGCAAGGGATACTCATGGTCATCGCAGAGGTCCACGCAGCACAGCCGCACACTGCGACCACTGACAGCACGAACGCAATTGACTCAAGGATTAGACATCAAAACAGGACGGTGACGACACTACTACCTGACCTGATGGCCGCCCCGACCATGGGGGCCACTGCCTCCTCCAGCCACGAGGGACCAGTTACCAGCATCAATCTGCGAGCCCAGCCTAAACACCACGAGGCACCCACGGAGCTCATATAATTGACATCAACGCCACCAACGAATGTAGCCTACCAACAGCTACGCTACAAGGCTCCACCGGCTATCCTGACGCCAACGCCCATCGTACAACCCACCACTGCAGGGGCAGCATGCCGCAACGAGGACAAGCAGCCGAGCACACCTTAGCCATGGCAGGAGGTGCCTGCAAAGCCACTGCTAACCACCCCACGAAAGAACGAGAGCAACCAGGGGGCAGCCGTGAGCAAAACCACGACGACACCAAGCGCATCCGAGACGCGGCCATCGAGCTCGGAAAGCGACCCCTACCTCCACCGCCGCGAGGCATGACAACAAGGCTGAGGAAGACCGCATGCACCACATCATCGAGCGCCTGACCGTCATGATCAGCAACGACGCATACGAGCGCGAGCACGTGACGTGCAATATACATACGCACGAGGTGATCGCCTACCACTACGACCAGATGCTCGACCTAGCCGACGCAGCAGAGGCTAACGGCAACAGCCGACGGTCTCCACATCGAATACGAGCAGATCATGGCATGGCGTACGGGGAGGGGGTCTCAACAGCTACTGCGTCCTACGAGCTGCGGGACGCATAGCTGTTCCACATGAATCAGCGACAGAGGGACCTGGCTAACTACGCCAACCACTACTTGGCTAACATGCTGACCTACCCGAAGCGCCACATCCACATGCCTGGGCACGAAGGGAGACATCCTCATGTGCATCGAATCAAGGTAACCATACGACACAGCCCCACGTGTACGCCGACGCCACTCCTCGTCGCCGACATGCAGAAGGAAATCGCAATCGAGGCAATGGTTAAGATGGCCGAGCTCATCAACAATCAGACCCCGTTGCCCGAGGGCGAGCCATAGAACCAGCAGAACCGACAGCCGACACCCAACCCACCGACTGTACACGACCTGCTGCCACCTACCGAGCCGCTCATCGGGACAGCACCACTCCAGCTTGGACACCTGGACCAACAGCCGCCGACTTCAGGACCGGGTGCAGTTTAGCAGACCAACGACACCAACTTGGTGCAGCCCAAGTGGACCACGACCTCGCCAGGCAGAACCGTAGTGAGCAGCACCGCTGACCACCCAGGACCACACCAGACGCAACAGCACACTATCGGCGACACCAGCACGGCTGCTACGATCCGCGGCTTGATCACGGACCACAACACCGAGGGGGACGTATCCCACACCCCCCGCGAACGGAAACCAACAACGACACAGCCCATAGCCGGACATCTCGGCATCATCCACCACGTCGACCAACAAGAGACGGACAAGGAGGCTTTCCCACTCTACGGCCCCGACCCGTGGAAACCATGGCCGACCTGCGCAGACGCCGTCAAAGCTGACAGCTGACCAGCCTGACCAGCACGACCCACCTACGGCGAATCAGGAGACTCCCCCCTGATCGCTCACAACACAAGGCAATTCCCGCGATCGGACCGGCCTAACAGCGGCCAATCAGTGCGCTATATCCTCACATATCTCATTTGCTTCATTGCAGACAGGACCGCCAACTGCTACATACCCACTCCCATCTCTGCACCATCCTTTAACCGACATGTGCGCTCTCACCGTATGACGGAAGCAGCACAGCTGGTGGTATGGGATTCTGCACTATCTACGGCAGTACTCTACAGCGTGAACATCAGTGGCGACTGCGATCAGCGTGGGTCCCTACGGGGCTTTCGCACCCACTTACTTGTACATTACAGCTACAGGCAACGCGTGGGTCCCCGAGGGGCATTCTCACCCACAGCGTCTGGAGGCTCTACCAACCACCACTCCCTACCGGCTCACCTTCTTGCAGCCCCGTCTCTCCCCCGCTATCACCCTTACTTACCCCCTCTTCTTCCCCCCTCTCGCGGTGGAGGGAGGGGTCGGTACGACGGAGACGGGTAGGGGTAACCAGAACGAGGGGACTCGCCACAGGCCGCTATGGCAAGGACCAGGGCGGCCGTCGCGGCATGGCAGCGAGCCGCTCCATGGACTCGACAGGTGCCCCCCCCACACGTGCAACCTGCTCCACCTCCGCCTACCGCCATAGCAGCTCACACTGCGACACTGGCGCCTTCTCTCGCCCCAACCGCCTGTCAACCGTCCAGGGGATGGGGCTTAGGAGTTATCGAGGGGGGTGGGTGGGTGGGTCGGGAGTACACTGCACACACAGCGTGCCGCCGCCACGGATGGCAGAAACCACTCCCAAGCACGGTGGACCCCCCCCCAAGCGGCCACCACTCCCGTGATCTGGGCACCATGCTCCTGCCTCGGCAGGGGAGGGTACCAATCATGGGGATGGTGGCCGTTTCGGGGGTGGGGGGGCCCAGGGGGGGGTGTGAAGCCTTTCTGCCATCCACCTTGGCGAATGGGGCCGCCACCACTCTTTGTGAGCGTCGGGGTCCCGCCCCTGCCTGGAGGGCACAAACCTCCCTCCTGCTGGGTGGACCCCCCCCAGGCGGCCCCAGGGTCATTGTGCTGGGGACCCTACGCCTGTTTTTCAGGCGAGGGATCCTCCCGCCTTTGACCCCGGGGACGTCTGGGGGGGGTTCCTATGAGCTGAAGGAGGGGCCCTTGTGCCCTCCCAGCCGCGAAGGTGGAGAGGCGCCAGAGGCGCCGCCTCCGCCGCACACTGCTGCGTCGCCAACCCACCGCCGCCAGATCTCTTACTTACCTCTAGCCACTAAGGCCACTTTTCAACCTTCTTCGCCAATGCGCAGTGTCCCTCGCCGCGCTTCTACACACGCTTCGCCCCTTGCCCTCCTCCTTCGCTGGCACCCCTACCGCCTCACTGACTGCAGGTGGCACGTCTGATCACCTTGTCTATTGGGGCACCTCTACGGAGGAGGACCCCGGGCACCCTCCAGAGCGCTGGCCCAAAAAGGCCAGGCGACACGCAGGAGAGGGGACCCGGCTCGGCCACAAGAGCACACGGCCCGAGGGCCCTCACCTAGTTTGTCGCTGTCACCACACACCGCCAAGCCACGCTGCCGTTCAGATCTCCCGCTTGTCCCCTTCTCCGGATGTTGTTATGGTTTTGATGTGTGGATGTGATGCTCCTCTTCTTCTCTATCCCTCCTGCTCAGCTGGACTTCGGTCCATCATTTTCTCGCTTTTGTTCTACTCCCCCAGGGGGGCCCGACCGGCCCCCCCCCCACGGGGGAAGCGGCAGCGTTCGACGAACACCATTGCCATCAGCGTCTCGGCGTCTCAGGAGAAGCTTTCCCTTCCCCTCGCCCTCCCCCTCCTCCCCCTCCTCTCCTCCTCCTCCTCCTCCTCTCCCTCCTCCTCCTCGTCCTCCTCCCCCTCCTCCTCCTCCTCCTCCTCTCCCTCCTCCTCCTCCTCCTCCTCCTCCTCCCTCCCAATAAAGAAACGAGGGCGAGGGGGCTCCTCCACGGCGCGGAGGCCGCGCGCGGGCGGTGGCGCCCCGCTGCTCTCGCGCCACTCGGCGGTGCGGAGCACGGCCGTTCCAGCGCGGCCTCCGCGCTGAGGTCCTGGTTGGGGCTTGACGTTTTGTTGTGGTTGTTGTTGTTGTTGTTGTTGTTGTTGTTGTTGTTGTTGTTGTTGTTGTTGTTGTTGTTGTTTTTGCCTTGTTGACGAAACCACTAGCTGGCGGACCGCCCCCTCCCCCCCCCCCCCCCCCGCGCAACGCAGCGCAACGCAACGCAACGCTCTCCCCGCGCGCCCCCCCGCGGGGCGTACAGGGACCCGTACAGGGTTCTATAGGGCTCCCACAGGACCCCTACAGGGTTCCATAGGATTCCTATAGGACCCCTACACGGTTCCATATGATTCCTATAGGACCCGTACAGGGTTCCATTGGACTTTTGTAGGAGCCGCACAGGGTTGGATCGGACCCCCATAGGACCCCTACAGGGTTCCATCGGATTCCCATAGGACCCGTGTAGGGTTCCATTGGACTCCTATAGGACCCCTACAGGGTTCCATGGGACCCCCATAGGACCCCTACAGGGTTTCATAGGACTCCCATACGACCCAGACAGGGTTCCTGAAGACTCCCATGGAACCCCGACAGGGTTCCATAGGACTCCCATAGGACCCCTACAGGGCTTCATAGGACTCCCATAGGACCCCTACAGGGTTCCATCGGGTTCCCATAGGACCCGGACAGGGTTCCATCGGGTTCCCATAGGACCCGGACAGGGTTCCATGGGACCCCCATAGGACCCGTACAGGGTTCCATCGGACTCCCATACGACCCCTACAGGGTTCCATCGGATTCTCATAGGACCCGTACAGGGTTCCATCGGACTCCCATAGGACCCCTACAGGGATCCATCGGGTGCCCATAGGACCCGTACAGGGTTCCATCGGACTCCTATAGGACCCCTACAGGGTTCCATGGGAGGCCCATAGGACCCCTACAGGGTTTCATAGGACTCCCATACGACCCAGACAGGGTTCCTTAAAACTCCCATGGGACCCCTACAGGGTTCCATAGGACTCCCATCGGACGCCTACAGGGTTTCATAGGACTCCCATAGGACCCCTACAGGGTTTCATCGGACTCCCATAGGACCCCGACAGGTTTCCATAGGATTCCCATAGGACACGCATAGGATTCCATAGGATTCCCATGGGACCCCTACAGGGGTCCATCTCTTCTTCTTTCTGCTCCTGCGCGTACCGCTTCTTGCGATATCAACATTCGAGGTTATTTTCGTGGTTAGCCGGCTCCCAGGCGTGGCTCGGACCCTGGGGACCTGGGACAGCGGTCCTCGTTAACCTTGGGCGTGTGCATTGTTCGTCGTTGTCGTCGGAGGGGGAGGAGGACGAGGAGGAGGAGGAGGAGGAGGAGGAGGAGGAGGAGGAGGAGGAGGAGGAGGAGAGAGAGAGAGAGAAAGGGAGGGAGAGAGAGAGAGAGAGAGAGAGAGAGAAAGAGAGAGGAGGAGAGAGGAGGAGGAGGAGAAGGAGGAGGAGGAGGAGGAGGAGGAGGAGGAGGTGTATGAGCAGGAGAGAGAGGAGAGAGAGGAGGAGAGGGAGGTGAGGGAGAGAGAGAGAGCGAGATAGAGAGAGAGAGAGAGAGAGACAGAGACAGAGACAGAGACAGAGACAGAGACCGAGACAGAGACAGAGACAGAGGCAGAGCTTGAGACACTGGGAGTTGGCCTTCGGGAGGGGCCCCTCGTCGCCACGGCTGGACGCAGCCTGAAAAATGGGGTCGTTTGGACCCCCTGAGTTTCTGGATTCTGATGGTTCCTGAGGGTTCCTCAGTGTTCTTCTTGGATTCTGATGGTTCCTGAGGGTTCCTAAGGCTTCCTTGGATGCCTAAGGCTTCCGTGAAATGCGTTGTCTGAGGTCTGTAATGGATAGTTGCAATATTCAATTCAGAGGATTCGAATGGACCGGAGGGCATGCCACTCAGCAGTTGTGGCGCGGTGACGGATACTATCGCGATTGGCCGACGATGTTTCCGCACGGTTACAGGGCACAGTAAGGATGACAAGGTTTCCAAGGATACCCTTGCAGCCTT